TACCCCTATTCTCCTTTTTTCAGAAACTCTCACCCCCCTCTCTTATTGATTTCTTCATTTTAGTTATTCAAAATATTTATACCCCGCCTTTCTTCTTGAAAAGGACCCCACCCCATATCGTGTTACAGCAGCCCACTTTAGATGAACCGCGGCCACCACAAAAAGCACCACCGAAATTCATGTGTTCACCTTTCAAGGAGCATCTCAGAATTGCAAAGTTGGAAAGGGACCCCGATGGATCACCCAGCGGAGCCCCGGGTAGCACTAAAAATGAATTCTTGGTGGGTGCCAGAGTCCCATAAGGGCAGATTATTCCCTCACCTTGATATATGTTTTATTGCAATGGATTTTCACACTCCTAGTTTTTAGGTCTGGGGTCAAGTTGGTTTGGGGTTCGGTTTCTGCTAATACCTCTACAGGGTCATGGATGGAGTGGGTAAAGCTGACAGATGGGCAGTATATAAATCAAATTACTACTAATCATTATCATCATCATTGCCAGAGTCCCATAAGGGCAGATTCTTCCCTCACCTTGATATATGTTTTATTGCAATGGATTTTCACACTCCTAGTTTTTAGGTCTGGGGTCAAGCTGGTTTGGGGTTCGGTTTCTGCTAATACCTCTACAGGCTCATGAACAGGGACGGAGTGGGTAAAGCTGATAGATGGGCGGTATATAAATCAAATTACTACTCATCATCATCATCAACAACAACTATGAAACTAAGGCAGTTTAAGCTTCAGGGCGCCTAATCTCAAGAGGGCCCCAGAAGCATCTTCAATCCACATGTTTAAAAAGTTCGGGGTGATCTGTTGTGGAACCAACCCCACGGAAGGCGTTTCGGAAGAGGTCGCCGTTTTAGCCTGTGCAAAAGCAGTATAGGTTAAAAACCAAATAAAATAATCCTAAAAGAGCCAAATTTTTAAAAAAGGCAAAAATGGAGTGGCACCCATAAAGACGAACTGCTTTAAAATGAGGTTTTCGGGAGACGTTCCCCTTCCGTTTCATTGGGTGGCCGTGGACAAAGTATAACTGGCTGGAGACTCAGAAGGCCTGGGTTCGAATCCCCACTCAGCCATGGGAACTGATGGGTGGGTGGAACTGTCAAAGCCTCTCCTTAAATATCTCACAATTAAAATATAACAGTTTTTGAGTCACCAAGTTGTCATTTTTAATTAAATTTTGTTTTTACCGATAACCCCCCCCTTCAAGAAAAGAACAGGAGTTACACAGACCTCAGTCGCTCATTGCCTTCACAACAATTCAAGCTTCATACACACACACACACACACACACCCCAAATGAAGATCCTCCACTGGTCTCGAACAAGTTATGAACCAGGTGAGCATCTAGAATTCTTCCTCAGGAAAAGCTGGTCCAAAAAATGGGTGGTGTGGTATGGATAGAGTAACTTACGGGGAGGCCTGGATTCGAATCCCTGCTCAGCTATAGAAACTCACTGGTGCAGAACTCGTAAAGCGTCTCCTTAAAAATCCCACTTACCTTGAAAGACCGACTGGCGTTGCTATAAGCCATTTCCAACTTGATATTACCGAACAACGTGTTTTATTGGTTTTACTGGAAGCCTTCTGATGCTAAATGCAATATAAATTTATCATTTGAAAATAAGGCATAATCTTTTGACTGGTATTGACAGATCCAAGTTTTAACCTAAAACCTTAGTATGGCTTGTGTTTACCATTCCTCAGTCTTCGTTTGTTCCTTTTTAATATTTGTATACCTGTTGTTTTTAGCTTTAATACTGCCTTTTAATGATGTAAGCCGCCTTGGGCTCTTCTTAAGGAGAACGGCGGAGTAAAAATTTTTTTAAATAAATAAATAAAATAAGTATCAGTTAAATATCAGTGTCATTTGCAGGCTGTTCCTAATTTTGCGTTTTCTTTCTTTCTTTTCTTTCTTTCTTTTCTTTCTTTCTTTCTTTCTTCTATCATTTTTCTTTCTTTCTTTCTTTCTTTCTTTCTTTCTTT